CGGCCCCACTTAGAATATGGCATACAAGCATGGCGGCCATGGCTGGTAAAGGACCAAGAATGCCTCGAACGGGTACAACGGCGTGCAACAAAGCTGGTAAACGGTCTAAAAAGCCATTCCTACACAGACAGACTCAATTGCCTTAATTTATTCCCTCTGTGTTACAGGCAGCAAAGAGGTGATCTTATCCTCGTCTACAAGATAATACATGGCCTTGAGTATGGACTTAAATTTGAGGACATGTTTTAGTGGCATCTTTCACCCAATCTTCGTGGTCACTCGATGAAGTTACGGACAACAATGTCCAGGCTGAATCTTCGTTCTGAGTTTTTTACGCAGAGGGTAGTGGAGAAATGGAACGATCTCCCTCAGTCAGTCGTGGAGGCTACATCCCTGCAACTCTTCAAGAAACGCTTGGATTATTATTTGTGTCCCCTGTTTTCCCTCGACGGTCTGAATCTGAACTAATACCCCTGGTTCCCACAAATATTTCCTCTGAGACAATGCTACTCAAATGAACCAAGTACTGTTTTTATAGTGAATATTTTTTGTTCGTGTACAGTTATTTCTAACGAGCTGACATGTAATTAATAGGGTTTTCAAAGGCTTTGCCTATTATCCTTACCAAATAAACTGAAATAAACTTAAAAGATGTTAGCGACGGATTTGCCAGGGTTCGAACCACTGAGAGCAATTGATTCTCTTTGCCTGTCGCGCGCTTGGCGCATCCTTGAGGCCATCTCAAAAATCTCTGTGATTCTAAGATGAACTGATAAGGAACTAGTGGATAGGTCACGCAGTTGTCGCCTCAACTTTTTTAGTCTGTTCTGAAGAAAATGAGGAACAAGAGAATCTGAAGAATTAGGCTTGAGATATCTACGCGGCACAAACTCTAGAATGTCCTTGGAAACATTGGACATGACGAAAAATGACTGCATCGCTACAAGTGAGGAAGTCACACCAATCCAAGGACCTCATATAGTTATTTATTAAGGCGCTATCTACGCAGTCGTAGTTCATGTAAGTCCGAACGGCGCTTGTCTTTTTTGAAAAGACAAGCGGTAAGCAACAATGATTTAATATGTGGTCACTGTCAATGAGGTCCTTTTTTAAGCAACAGAAAGAGGAGCAATGTCATAGATCTAAAATGTGATTATCTCTTTTTGGAGAGCGCAATAGTTGGGAGCAATTAGAAAAATTGACAATATCTTGAAAGGGCTGGAATCTGGGTGGACAGCTATTGGAACCCAGTCCATTTCAGGAAGGTTAAAATACCCAGTGATTATTTTAACATCGAAAGCAGCTCCCGAAATTAATTTAAAGATTTCACAGAGTTGTAAATCATCACTGGCAAAAGAATTTGGGGGATTGTAGATACAGCCAATAATTGCCTTTCCTTGCGGCGAGAGAATAACAGATGCAAAGCAGAAGTTTCACGTGAATGAGGATGCATCCAAGTAAAAGGGAGAGTGCCTTATGTTCTCGATGTCATTTCATTTCGACCCTAAACTGTCTTTCGACTTTCACAGCGGAATCCACAGAGTTCGCCATCTACTGGTAGTTTGATCGGTCTGCAATGAGGTCCCATGGTCCTATCTCCCTTGCTCCAACCTCGGCTGGACTCGAGGCAGACAGTGACCAGTCGCGTTTAGGTTTCTCTATTTTCGCCACTTTGGCGCGAATAGACTTGACCGATGTATGCATTCTGCAAGATCTTCGATACATTCATGCGGACGAACTTGGAATACGGGATTGAATCCTGGAGACCATAGACGGTTTGAGGTCAGAATAGTCTTGAAGGCGTCTAGAAAAGAGTTGAGAAAAGATTTGGAGTTAGAACTCCTCTCTCTACGCAGCCCACCCAATACATCTGAAATTCCTTCCCTTACAAGCCTTGCATATTTTGAAGAGTTTGAATTGCAGCTTGACCTATGAGGAACTTTTTCGAATTCGTTAACATGACCAGCTTCCGAGTCCACCCACTATAACTATTCATTCATAAGGCGAGGCTGGATGTGTGGAAGGCTTCCTCTTCCGTCAAAGTGGTCAGACTATGGAATGCCCTTCCTGCAAACGTTTTGATTTCACCAGTAACAGAGGGATTTAAAAGGAACCTCTTCATATTCATGTTCCGAAATGAAGGAAAGTGATAAGAGATCAACCCCAACCATAAAAAATCATATCATCTCAATTCATATGGTTTCTTCGTACACGGACTGGATTCTGTGTTTCGAATAGTGCATTCAAAGACTCGCGCCTTTTTACTCAATAAACCAGACTAAACTGTGACCTGTGACATTTGACGAACAGAGCATATGGTGCTGACCTCAAACGACTCGGTGTATATACCCCATTATTTCACCTAGAAATGCAGGGCTCAGAGCCTTCGCGGCTTTCTGTCATTGAACGCTATGGCGT